CTGCGGTTAACCTATGTATAGAGAACTGATTAATTTAGATACCATTTTTAGTATGTAACACTGATTATTAATTATTTTTACTAGCAATATTCCGGCTAGGGGAAAAAATCATCGAATGACTTCTCCCGCCTGGGTGAGGTGGAAGGGAATGTCAGACTCTTACTGACTAAAAACCACCCCGTTCCAACTCCTGCAATTCGAGTCGGAGCCCCGGTTACCCGTTAGGTTCTCCGCGACAATATTCCGGCTTATGATAGTAAATTAAAGTGGACTAGACCAAACGCTGGATGAAGTAAATCAAATATTTGCCAAATTACGCGTGGATGAGACGTATTTCGGTATGAACGAACCGACTTAGAATGGCACTCCATTGATACCACGGTCTCACCGGCGTGAAACAGCTTGCGTCGTGATTCCCCATGTGAGTGAAATTACCAGCACATCCTTGAGTCTTCAAATTGGCATGCAATGTACTTAAAACCCTTCGAGTTTATTGGGGCTCCGGCTCAAATCAAAGTGTAGGAGTAGGAACGGGGTCGTTTTTATTCAATAAGAGTCTGACACTCCCTCCCGCCTCACCCAGGCGGGGGAAGTTATTCGATGATTTTCCCTAGTTAAAAAAGCCTTCTGGTTGTTCACGGACTTTTACCACCGTACCCATACCATAGAAATATCCACTGAACTATCATCTGACTCATAACAGACAGTAGGTACAAATTATTACAATTTTCCTAAATTACACGAGAAACTCAATTACGATATAGCTGCTCATTAAACATTAAAATATCAGGGAATTCCTAACGAAATATAAAATTAATTATCCTTGGTTTGTACGTCACTTATTAATATTCTACTAATTAAGGAAAACTGTTATTATAGTGCACATGGTAACTGATAAAGCAGTTTACGTTGTATAATAGACTTCAATAGAGACGAGTCATCTTAAAATCATCTTAAAATTATCAAAATATAAATTTATTTATAAGCGCTTGCGTTCTACTTAGGTATCATTTACAGCCTTATTACCGAGTGGCCTCGAGAAAAGTTATATTATGGAGTTTTGTATGAGTACTCAATAATAGTATCTAGTGAATATGAAATAAGAAATTGGTTTCTGTGTAAGGCAGGTGGTTTAGATGAGAATTAGAGGTTTTAAATAATAGAAAAGAATACGCGTTCATCCTTGTCCCGTGATTGGCCAGCTCCATTGAACTAACCAATCAGAGCGTCGAACGCGGTCTCCTTTCAATTACTTAAAACGAACTTATACTAAGGCATCAGAAAGCCAGACCAAATATCCTGCAAGGAATGTCATTATTATCGCCATCAGTTTAAGTTAAGCACTCAACTGTGCGTTTTTCTAGCAGCTTTCTACCACGCACAGCAAAACTGTGAAATGATCTGTCGTCGGCGGTATTTCCAAACCGACACGACCTTCCAACCTTCAAGAAAAGAGCGTATTCCTTTTTAAAAGGCCGGCGACGCACCTGTATCTTCTCTGGTGTTGCGGGTGTCCATGGGCGGTGCTGATCGCTTACCATCAGGTGATCCATCTGCTCGTTTGCCTCCTATTGCATAAAAAACACTCAATTTTCCAACGAGATAGTCAATGATAAGAAAAGGATCCGCCCTAACATATTTATTTTTGTGACATGTTTTGCTATGTTACGGGGAGCTTCGACTTATTTCAATCTCAACCGGAGCCCTCATGATGACACAAGAAATCCGCACGTACTTATGTACTATACCTACATTTACTATGAAGTGTTCTACATACTGACGCTATTGCGTGATATACCTACGTTTGCCTACGTGACGTGAAACACATTAATAACTTAAAACTTTATCACTTCATTACACAATTTATCTAAAGTTCGTATAATTAAATAATTGGCAACCAAATGTTTCCTTCCTCTATAAATGACGTGGTTATCGATGATCCAGGTTCTATCATGCACGAGGCCTGTAACTAAGGAAATATTACTTAAATTAATTATGAGTTACCTATACATAATGTATAATTAAGTACTCATTTGATATTGATAAGACGTATCAAGTCGAGTATGCCTGGAAAACTACCAGTTTTACTTCAACTTACCTTGTCTATTTTACTTGAACGTTAACGTCAGCAAGTTTCTTCTTTCTCTTTTCTTTTCGTACTTTTTACTCATAGGCGCAGTGACTTTTTTGAGGGGAATAATGACCTAATGACTTTTCCCGCCCGGGTGAGGTGAGAGGGAGTGTCAGACTCTTGCTAACTGAAAACGACCCCGTTCTTACTACTATTCTTCGAGCCAGACCCCCCCAAATTGGTGCAGAGGCTGGACAACTGGCTGCTGTGATAAGTGACGAATAACTTTTAGCGTGATGCACAATAATACCAATATTTTTTAACGCGGGGCACCACCTTGAATCAGGAGTAGGAATGGGGTGGTTTTTAGTCAATAAAAGTCTGACACTCGCTCTCGTACTACCTAGAGTGGAAGAAACAAGTCAATTAATGATATTCGCCGCTTAAAAAAAACTAAACATGGAGACAAGCAACGCAATTGTATCCTGGTAACCTGTTTGTGGGCTTCCATGGCCGATGCTGATTGATTACGACCAGCAGGCTTACTCTTGATTTTAATTCCGATCGATCGACATTGGAATTTGAATGTTTCGTACTCTTGAGTTTGACACTAGCGCCACATTGGTTTTAAATTGTGTGTCTATTGTATGAAACTAAATGAAATTAGGATTGGATTCGAATTGCAATAAACGGTACTCTTGAGCACGTTTTGACAGCTGTCAATTGCGCCAGTATTGAGTTGCGATTGTTTGTTTATTGTGATTTTTCCAATAACAAAAGTGTAACTTTTTAGAGATTGTTTTGCATTTTAAGTGAATTTTCGTCAGAGATTACTGTATAATATGGCACGATTAGTCGTTATGTACAGTGTTTTACGTAATTCACATAAAAAACAATTAAAACAGAGGCGAAATGAGCGTAGGTTGATGCGGTATATGGATAAAGCGTTTTCAATGAACGAAGTGGAGTTCCAGGCGAATTATAGAGTGACCAAGGATTTATTTGGCGAGCTTTATGATAATATTAAGCCCTTTCTGCCAACTCATAAGAGAAAAAGTGACATATCACCAAAATATAAGGTAAGCATACTATGATCTTTCATTACGAACTTAGCTCAACAATGATTTAAAAATACATAAGTGCTACTATCACAATAATATATTATCATAGCCAGTGAAATAGCCATAGGTTAATACCCATATGATTCTTGCAGGTTTTAGTGGCATTATCTTTTTATGCTACTGGGAGCTACCAGAAACTGGTTGGAGGCACATATGGGACCCTAATGTCGCAGCAATCCGTATCTCGTGCTATACGAGATGTAACAGCAGCTCTAAACCATCCTGCAGTAGCAACCAAATGGATTAGGTTTCCTCAAAATCGCCAAGAAAGGGATGCTATAAAAAGAAGGTAATGTTGATTACAATCAGCTGTTTATTTTCAAACTAACATAATTTGTTTACATTTTATTGCATATGTACAATAAATTAGCAGACTAATATCACCTTGTGTATTCTCTATCAGTCAATTTAAGTACATATAATTATTATAAAAGTACTAAACAAACATAAAACTATATACATACATTTTCTACTTAATTATTAATATTTATTTTTATGAATTCACTGTCAAATTTAACTTAATTGTGGGTTTACAATGGTGAACAGCAGTTCAAAAAGTTAACAACAATAATATGTCTGTTTTGTACTTATTGTATGTAATGATTTTTGTAAATAACGGTTTAACCAGGTATATACTTTATGTTCCAGGTTTTATGAAAGATTTAATATACCATCTGTGATAGGGTGTATTGATGGTACACATGTAGCCATCATTAGGCCATCAGAAAATGAGGAGAGATTTTTTAACCGCAAACATTTCCATTCAAGGAATGTTATGATTGTAAGGCAATACTTCTCATTAAATAATTACATAACCTATTTGACTCGTTATAACAACTTAGTTTAATAACCCTTTTATATTATTTTCAGATAAGTGATGCAGATTTAATGATTCTGTCAGTAGATGCTTCATATGGAGGGGCATCACATGACAGTTTTGTATGGAATCAGCATCCTGTGAAACAACACTTAATTGATTTAAATAATAATGGAGAAAATGTATTTTTACTAGGCAAGTATCTAAATGTTGTAAACAAGTCATCAGTCATATCTGTATTTTTCTGACTGGGAATATTTTTTAATTAGTTTTTGTTTCAGGTGATTCTGGATATGCACAGAGGGAGTACATGATGACACCAATAATTGATGCTCCTCAGGGTTCTCCCGAAGAATATTACACCAAACTGCATTGTACGGCACGGAACACAGTGGAGCGTACCATTGGTGTTTTGAAAAATAGATGGAGGTGCTTACTCAGGCATAGAGTGTTACATTACCACCCTGATGTAGCAGCTAAAATAATTAATGCATGTTGTGTGTTACACAACATGTGTTTAAATAGGGTAGATGAAGATCTCGAGGACAATATAGCTGAAAATGAAAATGATTACCAAGATGTCACTGCCCAAGAATCTTCTGGTAGTAGCACAGCTGCTGAACTAAGACGAGGTATCGAAAAGAGAAATGCGTTAGTTCAGCAGTTGTGGACGAGCAGAAGGTAAAAGTTTTTATTTCAAATTTATATTTGGCTTTTTTTAATTTATTATATTCTTTTATGATTTCTGTCTTTAATATAAATTAGTTGTTCTTTTTTATTTTATGTCACATAATTTTGATATAGTATTTTTAGTCTTAATTATGTTATTAAGAAAGAATAAAAATATATTATACAAAAAAAACTTTTATTTATTTTACCCATTTTAAACTATAACATAAATCAACAAATAAAATTAAATCACAAATCAACAATGTAACAAGGAAATCATAATTATTAGACCTACATTAAATCAATATATCAAATAGAACTGCTAAGGATTTGGCATTTTACTAGCTACATCTGAAATTGCATTAGCAATAGATGTCAAAGCATTAGCTATATTGCCAATATTTTCTGACAATTTAGCCAATGCTTGTGCTGTAATTAGCTCTGCTTCAACCCTGCGTGCTTCGATACTTGAGAACTGCTCCATTTGTGAATCCAGCGGCCTCGAAATCGACGATCGGCGCCGCCGGCGAGTTCGTGGTGCTGATGGTATAGTAGGTATAGAATTCTCAAGTGGGGTAGGCGATGCAGGTACTGAAATGTAAAAAAATACGTAAAACACTTTATTATATTTGTACTTCAGTTTAACATTCTAACAGTCATTAGAAGGTTACACATTAGTGCTTTCCCACTTGAGCTATGTAAGCACACACAAACGGCACATTCTAGTGTGACTAATTAAACTCCATGTTAATAAATTTATAAATTCAAAAATACTTACTTGTGGATGAAGCTGGTATTGCATCAATGTGTGACATGCCAAGAATAGGAGAATTATTATTAGCTTGCATTACTTGTTCTCCCGTTTCTACAATTTCTATCATTATAGGTAGCTCTGTATGACTACTGTGACTAGTCTGAAACAGCAAAATTATATCAAATTATTTTTGATTTAATTAAATCTTATGTAGGTATACATAATGAATTATCTATGACAAAAATTACCGATTGAGGAAATGGGTTGACCGCCAAACTTGTATCGCCTGTTGCAAATTCTCGCCCACCCATTACTGCCACCAATCTAGTATCTAAAGCGGAGAGCGCTGGTAAGTTGTCTGATGCTCCACCACCAGTGCGTCTCATTGACGCTGAGAGTCCTGCACAATGTTTCCGTAGAGCGCATTTCTTCTCAGCCCAATACTGAAAATAAAATGCATTCATTTTGATGAAATTGCTCTATTAATATAATAATAATTCAGATTAAAAGTAATGTTATGTAGCAAGTAAGTAGTTATTTTAATTACCTTCGCCCAAGCCCTGCCGTTTTTATTGGCACCTCCTAACGAATTTAAAGAAGTCGCTAAATTTTCCCACTTTCTCTTCGTTTCTATTTGGCCTTGGGTTGTTCGAACTAAGCCCTTAGCTACGCCTGGATTTTGTTCTAAAAACTCCACTAAACCTTCTAATTGGGCGTAGCTAGGACGACTTGGCATTGCAACTGAAATTGATAAACATTGATTAATTAAGCCTAGACATACAAAATACAAGTAGAGGTATATAGTAGTAGTACATAGACCAAAGTATTATGAAAGTTCATAATAATGTACACAAATACAGCTTAAACAAATACTATAGCAAATCAATGCCGAAATATTTATTTACGAGCATTTAGGTACTTACCAATTGTTTAAACGTTGATACAAGGTAACTAAGTTGGCCGATTTCACTTTAAACAGTAAATAAGTATATCGCAAGGTATAGAGGTATAATAATAATGCAAACAAACTCGTTCGTAATTTCTTATAAAAACTTTAGGATGTTTTAAATTATGTGGAGAACTTTTACGGAGGGTTTTTTTTAGTAGTGTTGCTAACGTATACATCCAAAGCAAACTAAAGTCATGCTAAATTTATTTTTTTAATAATTTACTTCCTTAAAAATAAATTAATTTAATTAGAGATAGAAAACAAATAATTAACTATATGAATGATTATTATTTTTAAACCTAATTTTTTTAAAGATATATGATTTTAGAGCCCTGTCTCAATTTTATCGTAATAAGTTGAGCAACACTATTGCGGTTCGATGCATAGCTAACTTCACGTTACTCTAAACAATCGCGGGACAATTCCGATTTCAATCCAATGTTATCATTATTGTTTTCAAGAGTACCGAATGTCGTGAGTTCAAATTTAACATTGGAATTGGATTGGCTTTGGATTGCAATTGAAATTAGTTTCAAGAGTAAGCCTGAGGTCATCAGTCCGCTTGTTTAAAATAAACTAGGCTAAGCTAAACTAAGTTAACTATGAAGTGTCGGAACTCAGATCTGGGCGAGACACAGTCTGGTTTCTATTGTGTCTCATATATCGACAGACAAAAGGTACAACTAAAAAATATGATTTACATGTCAAATCACTGGCACTCGTGAAAATCATCATGAACCATTTAAATAAGACCTTTTCTCCAATCAGCTGTTTCCATTCTACGTTGGCGGGGTCGTCGTCAACTTTCTAAGCATAGGAGCGACCGCGGGCAATGGGACGAGGCAGCCACATTCCTTGCCAAAAGTGGCGGCCACTCGCGCCCAGGATGGACATGTTGACGCAATGCCATTCAATATGCCACATATGATAGGTTCACCACGATTTTGTGTGAAAATTCGGATAAACTTTGATTTTTGTGGAGAAAATACATTCTTGTCTGTAACACTGTAACTGGTAAAGGTAAAACAAACCTCCACTAACGTGACTGACTAGGTATATAGACACCAGGGACTTTTTAAGGGGGGAATATCATCGAATGACTGCGGTGAGGCGGGAGGGAGTGTCAGACTCTTGACTAAAAACCACCCCGTTCCTTCTCCTGCACGTCGAGCCGTAGCCCCGGTTACCCGTTAGGTTCTCCGCGACAAGGTACCAGGGACTGACGTGGTGGTCTAAGGGTTAATGGTAGTGAAATATATTATTTAGGTAATTACGTGCTTCTATTCTGTTAAGTGATTTTTCCAAAGGACAGGGAAATAATGAGCGTAATAATAACCGTCAACAACACCAGTCATCACAGCATGACGATTATTAACATTTTTGGAAACTGAACTAAACAAATAATGGATAAACAGTAAACACATCAAAAAGTATCTAATATTTACATTATAATGGTTAAATGAGACTTATTTCATCATTATTTTCTTCTTCTTTAATTCCATTCTGTTTAACCCCAAAAATATTTAACACAGCACAATAACTTCAGTCACAACAAAAAAAAAACAATAGTTGAAAAAGAATTGTCAGAAGTGGGATTCGAACCCACGCCCACAGAAGTGGACTGCGACCTGAACGCAGCGCCTTAGACCGCTCGGCCATCCTGACATGAAGATAGAACTGTAAAATGTTGTGTCTATTTTGGAAAGGTAAATCTAAGTCTGTGATCCTTTTTAATTTAAAAAGGTAATTAATATTGACCTTTGAAATTATATTAAATATCTATCATGTTATTTGTTACAGTTTAGGTTTTTATAACAACTCTATATAAATCTAAAAATAAAAATTAATGTAAAGACGTTGGAAGAAAACCAGAATATAATTATTTTTCATTTAGTACTGAATTTGGTAACAGGTGAGTAGGGTTTACTATGGTTAAGGTAATTATTATTTACATTTACAATATTTTCTTAGTGTTTAGATGACTAATACCATTATTTGATTCGACTTCACCCTACAAACTTTTAAACTATTATCTCCCACCCGCTTGTCAAGCATGGAGATTATGGCATCCCTCCATTGTAGAGGAGAGAGGAGGTCTATAGTCCAGTCGTAGAATCTGGTGTGCCAGGGGCAGTTAATGTAAGACACAAGAAAATGTAGGATTAAAATCTTACATATCAGTTTTCGTGATAGAACCTTAACCTAGCTTGCTGCCCAGTAGGGCTGATGCCGATACGGAGCCCCGGAGAATTTAACGGGCTGCCGGGGCTACGGCTCGTAGAGCAGAAGTAGAAACTGGGTGGTTTTTAGTCAGTAAGACTCTGACACTCCTCTCGACTCACCCGGGCGGGAGAAAAAACATTTATTTTCCCCCCTCAAAAAAAAAATGCCCAGGTAGATGTTAGATAAGGCTACTCATTTAATTCTTAAGATGGTAAAGTATTATTCTGCCATTGACTGGATGTTGATTGATCTCAATTACCAAATTATGTTGTTTTAGTTGATTAATTGTAGGCCTTGTTACTCTACTTAATTATAATAAGGCCTATTAAGAGCGTTTAAAAAAAATGTTTAGGTTTCTTGCAGAAGTTGCTATTTTTTGTTTTAATTTTGTAGTTGCCTAAATAAACGACTACCTAATAAAACTTGTTGAATCTATTATCAGTATTTATCTATACTTATAATAAATCTGTAGAGAGGTAAATTCTGTACATAAAATATATTTAAAAAATAACTATCAAGGGGTGGTAAGGGATCGCTACTGATGCCAAAAATGCAATCAGTAAATTTTTTGTCTGTCTGTCTGTCTGTCTGTATGTTCGTTATAGAAACAAAAACTACTCGATGGATTTTAACGAAATTTGGCACAATTATTCTTCATACTCTTGGGCAGGTTATAGTATACTTTTCATTACGCTACGATCAATAGGAGCAGAGCAGTGAAGGAAATATTGGGAAAACGGGAGAAGTTACTCCATTTTTTAAACTTCCGTCGCGTGTGCAGGCTTATAGGTTAAAGCTGCATAGAAATCATGTATGACGGAAATATTCTCCTTAAAATTATGTAAAAAATATTGCTCGACAGCATATGTCTATCTTTTATGGTTGACTCACAATAACACGTGAAACTCCAGATAGCTTAGCAATTCGGTGATTTCTGATTGTATTTGTCTACTTTAACGTTTACAATACTCATTCATAGACTTTACGCTGTAACTGAAAGGCCAATGGTTGCTTGACTCGATATTATAAATGAAAATATGTGAGTTTATGTGTATGTTTGTTACTCAGTCATATTAAAACGACTGAAGGGACCGGAATAAAATTCGGAACAGATGTAGATTATGGTCTGAAGTGATACATAGGCATTTTACCCCTGGGACCGCGGGCGAAGCTGCTGGCAGAAGCTAGTTTTATAATAAATTCCCTTAACTAGGCCTTAATACCCTCATGTACCTTACTAAACAATTCTACATGTTTTGACATTAATGAAAATATCCAAAATTTTCCGTCTTTCACATCCACCCTACTTAGGGTTGCTGTCACAGATGTGTGTGTCGATGACCTGCGCTTGATTCGCAGTGTCAGTAGACTTATGGCGTCGTATGTACAATATGTACATACCTAATGCTAATCTTTGCGTCAGTACATGCTAATACCTATTGTTATTGTTCGTGTTATGTACTGCATATGTATACGCCACCATATGCAGCTAATTAATGCTTATATTATTAATATTATACTTATTATAATATTGTATTATGACTTCATTGATTTCATTGTAGATATGGATCTTGGCTTGACAAATTCAAGTTTAACAAACTCGTTAAATGATTTATTTACATGTCGTAAATTAAATGGGTTTGAAGGTCGAAGTATTCTTATCGTTTATTTGTATGACTAGATGTTGTATGAAATATGTAAGTATTTCTGGTTCTGTAAAGGTTGTAGTACTTACTACCTTGAGCTGCGGATGACTTAACAGGTTGCCGGGGCTCCGGCTCGAAGTGCAGGAGTAGGAACGAGGTGGTTTTTAGTCAGTAAGACACTCCCTCTCGCCTCACCCGGGTGAGAGAAGTCATTGAATGATATTCCCCCTCAAAAAAAGTACCTTCTAATTATAAAGAGGCGATCTGTGCTTGACACTAGGTACTTAGTTCTTATCTTCAATCTTTTTTTACATGATAGGTAGATGTGACGTTTGACCTCTGTCTCGCCTGGTTGTAACCGATGATGAAGCGATGATGATCCTAAGATAGAGTATAGTTTTGTTGTATTCACTGGAGCCTGAATGGCACCCAGGAGTTCTTGGTTGTCCTTCAAGAACAGACACTCTGTCGAGTCTGACACTCCCTCTTGCCTGACTCATAGCGGCTTGAGAGGATTAGTACCTTCTCAAAAAAACCTAGTTATTGCGCTAACCATTAGATTCAATAAGCCGAAACTGAGACATGCAGTTGTGTCCGATTCGCGAGAACGTACCGAATAAAAAAAAACGAAAAGAAATTGTCAGAAGTGGGATTCGAACCCACGCCCACAGAAGTGGACTGCGACCTGAACGCAGCGCCTTAGACCGCTCGGCCATCCTGACTGATCATATATAGTTGAAAATAAATGTCTAATGACGAGAAATTAAAGTAAAGAGATTTATGTTATTTACTTATGATTATCTTATAGACACTGCATTGTATTGAGATTTTACTTCAAACATTAATATCATCCATAAGATGTCAGTACGTATAATTTAAACGTGAATGGAGGGGTGTTAACTATTAATTGCCACATTCAATTCACGTCCCTATTTTCTGGGGTGGTGCATACAGGAAATTATGTTTTACCTATACATATTCTTTACATTTAAACAAC